AGTGACGGCCCGGGTCGGGCAGGCGGCAGCAGAGGCGCTGCCGTGAGCCCGCGCTGGGAGAAAGAGCGCGAACCGCCGTGCCCCGTGTCGCGGCCGCCCGCCCCTTGGCTCTCGCTTGCCTGCTACTCTGGTGAAGCAGACAGGGGACAAAAGGCCCGGGGACGTGATTATGACCCGGCTGGGCCCACGATAAGCGGCCGGTGCAAGCCTGCGGGAGCTCTATTTGCTCTCGGCTTACCCCGTTTCTGTCAGCAGATTAATCAAATGGTGGGCTCGGAGGGAGCCTAACGGCCAGGGACATGGGGAGAGCTCAGGAGAGTTACAGGTGGTCTATGAGGGGTTGCAAGGAGACCTGAGGCACCCCCTGCCACGAATAACCCTGTGTGCTGGCAGTCCAGGCTGGGTAACATCCTGCACCACAACCACTGGTCTGATTTTGCTGTTACTTCCTCCACTGCAAATGTAGCCAGCTGCTACCCTGCTGTGAGGGAAATGAGAACTGAGAGAGATTTGAGCTCAGCAAAGTGCATCTTCAAATGGTAAAAGTCTCTACGTATGCGGTTAATCCCTTTGAAAACAATGGGAGTTTGAAGATGATATTTGTAGCATTTTGGGGGAAACTGGGTGGTGTCTCTCTGCATCTAAAAAACAACAAATCTGACCATAGGTGTTTAGTACTACAGCAAATACTGCTTGCTGCAGTGAAGTCTCATGCGGTGAAACTTCAGTCACAGCACTGAATTTCATCCTATCTCAGCTTCAGTTCTGGAAACTGCTTGGCTTTTCTCCAGCAGGGCTTTGTTGAGAGATGCCTGAGCAGATATGACATTCCTGAAGATGTATAGTTTCTCTTTTGATAGCAATAAACACCTGATGAGGAATAAATTCAACACCTCTGGATATTATTCTCTGTGTGGATGGCTGAGAGGAATTAAACAGCACCTCCTCACTTGTGTTGCCAGAGTTATGCCTACAGGGAACTCCTTTGCCCCTTCATGTGGCTAAATCCTTCCGTGTTCAAAATTTCTCTGAGATTCCCTTCCCATTTTGCCCACAACCGCTCAGCTTTTGCAGAGCAGACCAGCACACTGCATCAGACAGGGCCATGCCCCATCTTTACACCTGAGCAAATCCAGCCCATCCTCCCTTTGGGTGCTTCCAGCCTGGTTTCTGTGCGAGCTGTTTGCTTCACGACGAGCTTTGGGAACCTCTTTTTAACTCCCTACTGCCATGTTTCCAAGGTTCATGTGCTGCTCAGTACTGGCTGGGCTGAAATTGCTATTTGTATGTTACTCTGCTCTCATATTCCTGACCTCAGAGGGGATGCAGAAGCTTAGGCCTCCCATGGACCTCTTCTTCCTGCTTGAACATGGAAGGCAGATGAAAACCACTCTAAGCCAGGGAAGGATTTAGTCTCTCAGGCCATTCCCTGCTATGGAAAGTTACAATAATGAGTGTATTATCAAGAGCTAATGAGTTTAGACATGTTCCTAACATAAGAAATGGGAGCATCAGGGCGGTCCAGTGTGTGCCCAAACCCTCTCTTCAAACCTGCTGGCTACTGAGAGAGAGAGATGCACTGGGTTATGGCTTTCAGGCACCTTTTATTTTGTTAAAAAAAAAGTGAGTCTGAGAGATTGTTTGTTTGTTTAAAATACATTTTATCTCTCAGAGTCTATTACCCCTGTGAAATGCTCTGCACAAGCAGGTGAGCAGTGAGAGAAGAGCAAAGCATTTAGCCAGTGCCAAATGAGAGATATGGAGCCAATCTGCTTTATCTCCTCTTTGCAAGCTTGTCCTCCATTCCCTGAAACTTTGGCTAAGCATCTGCCAAAACACTAGTTGTGTGGAGTGAGGAGGGGTGGCATAAGGCAAATTTGGCTCTGAGCCACCTTTATGTCCATCTTAAATGTCTCATCAGGGAGATAGGACTGGCCCAAGACTGACATCAGAGCAATCGGAATACTGATTCTACTTGAAATAGCTGGAGATTGTTGTTACAAAGATGGGCAGAGTGCAATGTACTCTCCACTCACACCAGCTCCTTCTGAGACTGACATGCTGGTCACTGGAGAGGCCTCGCTCAGAAGTAATCTTTGTACTTCTTGGCTCTTTCGTCTCTGCTCCCTCTTGTGCAACTTCTGTGCTGCAGAGCACCCTCTGTGGGACTCAGGATCTGAATCCTTTATATCCTTTCCCCCTCTCGTATTTGGAAGGGCTCCAGTTAGGTGAAGGTGATTCCTTCTGATGGGGAGTGGGTCAACCAGTGAAAACAAACAAAACTTCAAAGTGGTTATGCCACATCCAGCCTCATCTGGGCTCAGTTGGCTTCACTTCTTCTACAGTGCAAAATGGATAACAAAAATGACCTCTCTGGAAAAGTCAGATTTCTCTGTTATTATGCATTCCAGTTCCAAATCCTCCTTTTAAGAAGTTTATGATAAGATGATTATTGTAAATAAGCTTCCCCTTTAGCAAAGAATAAATC